TATTTTATTAATTTAATTTAGGGTTAAGTGCAAAAAAAAAAATCTTTCATAATATGCAAAATGTGCAATTACCTCCCTATTGTTCGAAAAACCCCTTACTATTTTCAATTTGTGCAAAAAGAGACAAATCATAATTTTGGTGGTAAAATTACTAAATAACCATACTTTATCATTAGGAAAAAATAAAGACAAAAGACAAAATATCAAAACTGCCCTTAAAGTCATAACATAACAATATTTAAAACAAAATTGGAATGTGAGTGTCTAATTACGTTTTACCAAATTCAATCATTGTCCTTCTAATACATTCAAGAATATATATATATATATATATATATATATATATATATATATATAGTTGCTAAAAATAAAAAATTTATAGACCTACAACTAGGAAGAAAAAAAAAAAAAAAAGAAGTTAATGGTAAACTAAAAAAGTTTGGCTCATGTTATGTTAAAGCCTTGTACTTTTTTATAATAAAGAACAAGATATGATAAAAAAATATTGACATCAATATAAATAAAATAAAATAAATTTAAAAAAAAAAAATGTGTTGCTTGAGTTTGTGTCCATCCAAAGAGTAACTAGATTAAAATTTTGATTTTGATAGAAATCCTAAGTTCATCTTATAACAATTTGTGTCAAAGCAAATTCATTAATTTAATTATTATTAATAATATATATATATATATATATATAAAATTAAGGGAGGCTCATTCATTTACAAAAAAAAAATATAGTGCATCTATCATTTAGAAAGGAGATAATATTAGCAGCGGCAGAAAAATTTTAGAGAGAAAAAAAATAGAAAGAGAGATAATAGTGGCAGCCACAAAAAGATCTTTTAGAGAGGAAAATATATATATATATATTAGAGAAAGAATATCGATGCGTGAGATATTTTAGAGCGAGAATATATTTTTTTTAGAGAGATAGTCTATGGAATTTTCCTTGGACAGGACTTGAAGCACAACCAAACAAACCCATTTCAGTGTTCAAATATATACAAAATTAGTAGGGGCATTCTTGTCACACAAAAAGGGAACTTTTGAATTTTTTTTTTTTAAAATGATGTCACCAACTGCTATTTTTCAATGAATCGATTTAATAGGGGGTAAATTACTCAAAAGATGAATAATATAAGGAGTTATATGCACTTTTTTCCTAATATGGGTGTTTCTTCCACATTTTTTATATAGCAAGTGGGTTTTTTGTACTTAACCCTTTAATTTATTTGTTACTAAAAGCAAGTGGGTTTTTTTGCACTTAACCCTTTAATTTATTTTTTACTAAAAATCTTTTCATTCTAAGTTTTTAAGTTGGTCTAACCAAATACTAAAAGAGTTATTAATTAGGGATGGCAATGGAGCAGTTTAGGGCAGCGATCTCATTCCCATTCCCATCCCCGTTTAATTTTTTCACTCCCAAAACTAACCTGATTTTTCAAAACAACCCCCATCCTCGTCCCCATTTACATAATCGATTCCCAAAACCACTCCAAACAAGGCGGGACCCCGTCGGGGTGGGGATTTTTGCCATCCGACGCGGCTCTCTTTTATTTTCACAACACTTAAGATAATGGATTGATCTTGTCATCGGTGTCGAAGAGATAGATCTGCAGTCGCTCGTGCCTCTCCCCGTCTTTCAAGCATCGAGACCGTGAAAGGGCTGGGGTTTTAGGAATGTGTGTGTGTGTGTGTGTGTGTGTGTGTGTGTGTACACTTAATCTAATTTAGTAGTATATCATTATATGTAAGGGCAATTTAGTAAAATTACACCATAATCGGGTCAAGCAGGGCGGGTTTACCCTTCAGCCCCAACCCCATTCCTTTTAAAAATAGCTCATATCCCAATTTACATAAACAGGTCCCCAAACCCGTCCCAAACGAAACGGGTTAAGGTAGATCCCCGCCGAATTAACAATTTTTGCCATTCCTAATTATTATTATTTAATTCTCACATCATTTTATATTTATAACCAAATAATAAAATAAGAATAATCATTTCAATTCATTCCCACTCTCTTTCCGGTCCATTTCCCCGTACTAAATACAACATTAAATTATTAACAAATTTAAATCATCCTGGAAGACTATAATGTATAGTTTATTGTATTTATATTTACTTTGATTTGACAAAGCACAAATAATTCACTCAAGAGACTGAAATTTTGACCGACTATATAAGTGGATTTTATCTCCGCCCATCTGGTTCTTTATTGTACGCTTTTTTGAGGTATCATGACAATACATTTAATCCAGACGTCAACACATTATTTTGAAGTTGAATTAAGTGCGTTAATTTTTTGTAGTGAAATTTTTTTTTTATTATATAAAAAGTTAAATTTATATTTAGGAAAGTGTTATAAAGAGAATAAAATAAATATAAAAAAAAAACCCTAAATTTATACTATTATGAAAAATGTATTGTAAATAAAAAATAGATAAATAATGTACTAAAACTTTTTATACTTTTAATAATAATGAAATGCATTATAAATAAAAATTAAATAAATAATGTTCTGAATCTCTTTTAACTTTTTATAATAATATAGATATATAATTGAAGAGGACTGATAAAAGGAACCCTATCTTTTGGAACATATGAAATTTAAATAGTTGGGAAAGTTTGTTGGCGGTTGGACAAAATTAGTAATCTCTTTAAAGCTTTTTTTCAATATATATCTAGTCAAAATTTTGAATCTTCATTAGTTTAATGAGTTGGTCATAGTCTAGTAAATTGAATTTCTTTCTAAAATTGAATCCGTTTGAACTTTATTTGTCAAATGAGACATTCCAAAAACAGTTTAAATCTTTGAATCTCATCAATTGAACGATGTTAGTCTCATAGTGGGACCTTAGTGTGACCAACCTCCTCTCATAAATTAATTTTCTTATAAATTTCTTGATTTCGAGGAGAGTTTAAAAAACCATTTCATTTAATTGAAATTTATTGGAGAATTTCAAAATGACAGGACATAAATGGGTTATGGGTCTCACATTAAGTCACATAATTCTTCTAAAATGGTGGTGTTCTTACACTTTGCGCGCTAATTGATTCTCTTACAACAAATTCTTATATAATTTTTTAATTCAATTTTTAAAATTTTGAATTCATAACAATTTCTCATTTATTGAATTATGAACAATTACATGTGATACTTATTATTGATGGCGATAATAAAATGTGCATAATAGTGAATACAAAATGTTAGGAATGTGAATAATAACGTTACATTATTAAAAAAGAACATTATTTCCATATTGCTTATGTTTAAAGTTACTTATATTTCAAACACATTTTTTATTTTATAAACGCATAATACTATACAAATATTCAGACGTTTTAGAGGTGTTCTCGCTTTGACCCAATTTTAGATTTTCTTAGCTACCATATTAGTGGACTTAGGTCCCACCACTGATATCATTCTACACAATTTTCAACACCCCTCAAATTTAGAAGATTTATAACGCTTTTATATCTACCATTTTGGAATATATTAAATCAAACAATTAATAAAAACAACTCATATTTGTGAAGGATAAATGACTTGTTGATGACATTACTTTTCAAAAGAAACAAAATTTTGATTCTCAATTTGTAATCTAATCAATCAATTCGTCAAAACACACACAACACACACATTACCTAGCATATTTTGAAGTTGAACTTAATGTGTTAATTCTTTGTATTGAAAATTTTTATTATTATATAAAAAGTTAAATTTATATTTAGTAAAGTGTTATAAAAAAAATAAAATAGAAAAACTAAATTTATATTATTATAAATGTATTATAAATAAAAATAGATAAATAATGTGCTAAAACTTTTTATACTTTTAATAATAGTAAAATACATTATAACTATAAATAAATAAATAATGTACTACTGAATCTCTATCTTAACTTCTTATAATAATATAGATATATATAATTGAAGAGGACTGATAAAAGGAACCCTATGTTTTAGAACATATGAAATTATAAAATAGTTGGCAAACTTTGTTGGGGGCTGAACAAAATTAGTAATTTATGGAATTGTTAATCTCTTTTAACTTCTGTTTTTTTTTCAAAAAAAACATACAAATATATATATATAGTAAAAATTTTGAATCTTCATTAGTTTAATGAGAGTTCGGAAATTGATTTCCTTCTAAAATTGAATCCATTTCAACTTTATTTTCAAGCAAGACATTCCAAATATAGTTTAAAATTTTGAATTTTATCGATTGAATGAATTGGTTTAAACAGTGAATCTAGTGCGACTAATCTCATTTTATAAATTAAAATTTAAATGAGATGACGTAAATAAAAATATGAGTCCCCACGTACACATTTTTCTCATTCAAACATTCTTCAAATTTAGAGAATTTATAAATAGTCTTTATTTGTATATCAACCAATTTTGGGAAATATTAAATCAAACCATTAGGAAGAACAACTCATAATTCTTTGGTTTTTTTAGTTAAAGGGTAAGCTTACAACTTAATTCTTGTGAAAGATAAATGATTTACTTTTTAAAAGAATCAAAAATTTGATCCCAACAATTTCTAATCAACCCATCAATCAATGGGTCAAATCACACACAAACCATCAAACACACATTCCATGTGTGAACAAACCGACGTCAAAATACATTGAATGGGATCCGAATGAATGTATCGCCTTTACTACGTTCACACCTCGCCACGACCTCCCATTACTTTTGGTGGGACCCACCGGACGAAAAACGAAACCGCCGGCTCGACACGAGTACAACTGGGTGGTTCCACACGGCCGACTCAATTGGGCGAGTCCGTCCAAAATAGATAACGTAAGCAGTGACAAAATCACCCCATGTGGGTCAATGACACGCACGCACCTCACTTCAACTCTCGCCACGTGTGAGGGCTGCTCCAACCTCCCCCACCAATATTATCACCCACGTGTCTTCTAGATCCCACCATCTCCTCCCGACACGTGTCCCCGACCTTCCCTATATATTCCCCTCTCCCCCTTGTGTTCTAAAGTTTCAAGCCCTAGTTCTGTTCCGTCTCTCTTATTATCCCCCTTTCTCTCTCTATTCCCACACCCCCTATATATACACACACACACACAAATTACACACACAATCACTCATATATTTAGTGAGAGAGAAAATGACAGCAGTGGATTTGCAGTTACCTCCTGGTTTTCGATTTCATCCGACGGATGAGGAGCTAGTGATGCACTATCTGTGCCGGAAATGTGCGTCGCAGCAGATTTCTGTGCCCATTATTGCAGAAGTTGATCTCTACAAGTATGACCCATGGGATCTTCCAAGTAAGCTTCTTTTTTTTTTTTTTTTTTTTTTTTGTAATTTTAAAATTGAGTTTTTGGATTTTATTCGGTATTAATTATATTATGTGGTGAAATTACAGATTTGGCCTTGTATGGAGAGAAAGAGTGGTACTTCTTTTCGCCTCGGGACCGGAAGTACCCGAACGGTTCGAGGCCTAACCGGGCGGCCGGGAGTGGTTATTGGAAGGCGACGGGTGCCGATAAGCCGATCGGGAACCCGAAAGCGGTCGGAATTAAAAAGGCGTTGGTGTTCTACGCCGGAAAAGCGCCCAAGGGACAGAAAACCAATTGGATTATGCATGAGTACAGACTTGCCGATGTGGACCGCTCGGCTCGCAAAAATAACAACAGCTTAAGGGTAAGGGTAAGGGTAATTGAAAATCAATTAAATGTAATATCTGTGTAGTTATCATTGTAGTTGGGAGGGTAAATTGGTAATTTAATTAGGTTGAGATGGCATGACTATTGTTTATAGGGAATTGGAAAGTTTAGGGGAGAAAAATGTCTTTTTAGTAGCATTCGTTAGAGGCGGCCCATAGCATGATGATGAGGTTGATGTGTATGTACTATCAACCTCAATGGACAAAGACGATGATTACTATAAAACAAGCTGACTTGGACGATTGTGATGTGTCCCTGGACTTAATCAAATGGGCCATAGAGTGGGCTGTACACAGGATCTATCTAGAAACTTGGACCATAGGCCCACATGTTTTCAATACAAAACTGTCCTATGTATCTATATCTATTTTGATTGATTGGTCGTGATTATTGTGCAGTTGGATGATTGGGTGTTATGTCGCCTATACAACAAAAAAGGGTCCATGGATAAGCAAAACATCAGTAGCAGCCGGAAAGTGGTGAGCAACTACTCGGAAATTGAGGAAAAGAAGCCGGAGGTTTTGACCCACCTCGGCCCTAAAGCTGGTGGGTTACCTCCGGCGGTGGCGCACAATGAGTTCATGTACCTCGACACATCGGATTCGGCCCCGAGGCTGCACACGGACTCGAGCTGCTCGGAGCACGTGGTGTCGCCGGAGTTCACGTGCGAGAAGGAGGTGCAGAGCGAGCCGAAGCTGAATGAGTGGGACAAAGCTGCCCTTGATTTCCCGTTTAATTACATGGATGCCACAATGGACAACACTTTGTTCGCTTCTCAGTTCCAGAATAATCAGATGTCGCCGTTGCAGGACATGTTCATGTACCTGCAGAAGCCGTTCTAAAGTGGTCCCACCAGAAGAAATATTTATATATTTTTTGATCGGTGCACTGGATGCTCACACGTGACACAGGAGACTGAATGGTCTGTGAGTGTGAATCCTTGAGGGCATTTTTGGGGACTTGTGATGGTTTAGACCTAGAACAGATGGATAGTTTTGGGTAGTGACCCAAATGGTGGTTAGTTCTGGCTGTGCTAATACAATGCTGTTTATATATGTAACTGGTACATATGATGATTTTGGGAAGGTTAGGGTGGGGTTTATAATATTTTCATGTATTTTGGTTTTATTATCAAAGGTTAATGATGTTTTATCTAGTGGATGCACACGAGTTACTGTTGTGTTGATCAGTGATTATCTATGATCTTTCTATATATGATTGCTTTGTTATTAGAATGAAAATGGGAGAGGGATCACATAAACACTAATAATTCTAAGTCACTCTTGCTTTTTATTAAAAACTATCAATTTCTATTTATTGTATATCAAAGCAAATTGAGAGTTTCTTGGGCAAGGTACTTAAGTACCCTTAGGTCGTGTAAGCACCCTTGGCAACACTACCGAGTGAAATGGAAAGAACTCACTCTAGTGTGGCTCTCTAGTGTTGTCTTTGAACCGAATCAAAGGGTTCGGGAACCGAGTCAAAGGGTTTAGGAGTTTGGTTACGATTGGAAAAGGTGTTAGGCACCTCAAGAAGCCGGAACCAAGTGCTTTTACTTGCTTTACCTTTCATCTTGCTTGCGAATGTTGCCCTGGTTATTGTACACTTTGTATCTCGGCATGGCCATTCTTTTTCTTGAAAACTACTGCCAACCTCTCGTATATCAAAGACAAATTGAGAATTTCTACTTGCACAAAGTATACTTTCTCACTCCATTGACACTTTGAGCTACTAAATAGCACAACCAAATAAAATAAATTTAAGAAATTGAAATCGAATAGCCTCAACTAACAAGGGTCCGAGAGAGAGAGCACAAGGCACAGCAACATGGATAAATACCAATTTAACAATGCAGATGAACATGAGATTACAAGTCAGACGCCTTAAAAAGTGAAGAAAAAGCTAAGAACTGTTAGCTCATTGATCTTGAAGTACAAGGGTTTAAGTTTTACAATCCTCCCTTCCCATAGCTAATGAAAATATGGAAGCATCTTATAGTTCTGGAGTTGATATCACACCAAAAAAAACCCCTTTCAAACTATTTACTTCCCAATGACTTAGATAGATTGGAAACCACAGGCATAAAAATTGCGAGGGCAATGAAAGCCGCATGCCTGCATTTTAAGACGAACTACTTTGCAGCTGCAACTAAGGCAGATCGAGCACGGGTAAATGTAGCAATGAGTGCCCCGAGCTGCAATTTGTCATTGCAACCGAAAGTTAATCTGTACCTGCAAACCAAAAACCACTCGTAAATTTTAATCAATTAAAAACTCATCAAGTTCAAAATCAACTTGCAGTCAATTCTACACTAGTCTGACAAAAACCCTAGCTGGGAATCTGGAGCAGATCCTCTGTATGCTAAACTCATGATCCTCTTCTTTTTTTTTGAAACTTACGTTACTAAAAACACATTTCTGTCCTGCTTTATTCAATTTTCATTGATCTCCACATGTTTAATGAATTAACCATAATAGTACAAGGTTTGATTTTATTGAGGTTAGAGCTAGCTGGATAATGCTTCGGGTGAATTTATCTGCTTCAATCTGAAACACTTTTTAATGGCTTTGTTTGACTGTTTTCACATTGCATGTTTGTGCACAAATGCTTAAAGAAATGTGCTACCATTATCTACCTTAATTTTTAGGAGTTTCATTGCAATCAAACCAGACTCCTCGCAATACATCCAGAATACTAATAATCATCTTCAGATGTTATAGAAGATGCACAAACCTGGGTTATGGTTTGCTGAATAAAAATTGAGTTTTTAAAGGTGGTTTTTTAGTATTGGCAGGAACGTTTTCATTCTACTGGCCAACACTCCCTTCGGTTCCCATGACTTTAAACATCTACAAAGCAGAAGTCCAATTAATGCTGACAGTTGGCTTCTATCAATATAGGTTTCTTAAGCTCTAATTGTCCTACAAATGTAAAACACATGTATCTCTGTACTGGTTTAAATTAATCATGTATCAATCACTCCATTCTTCAACTGAAACAACTATCAGGTTACTGGGTCTGACATTAAAAATGTTCTCAAGAGCAAGGCATATATGGAATAAGACATGATACATACTCTATATCAGCCAAGTCATTGATCAGTTGAACTCGAACATTTGATGGCATCTTGATCTTAAAAACGAACCTGTTCACAAATTGCCGTAACGATGAGGTTCATAAAAATTGACTGCTTTAGAGCAATAATGTGAACACTTACATGGTTACTTCTCTTACAATATCCAGCAAGGCCAATCCATTCCTTGTCTTCATATCTGATATTTCTACAGATAGTTAAGTACACAGAAGAAGAAAATGACGGTGATGATGAAAGCAAAAAAATAAAACAGAGTTTCACAATGTAATTATGTAACAATAACAACTGCATTACAAAAAAAAACTTGCTGGATACGTCTAAAGCCAACTGAAAATGATTCATTCAAAAGCCAGTACGATATTTGCTCAATGTCTTTGGGCAGGGGGTTCCCAGTGCAAAGGTAGACAGCTTCTTCCGTTATCTGCTGAGAAGCCATATGTGTTGACTGCAAATATGAAGAGAAGTTATCAACAAGCCAAAACAGAAACCAGTGATAATCCTTTCACATAGATGCAAATTAACATAAGAAAGCCAACAGTTGTGCAAGCATAATCCTACAGTAATAAAGAGTGGTTCTTGGGCAAGATTGTTTAAATTGACAGAATGGGATAATCCACATTTGTATTGATAAGTAAAATATTAAAACTGTATTAAAAGTGCCAAAGGGGACACAACCAATGTACATGCTGAGTATATAAGAGTGACATGTTGAACTCCAGACTCCCATACAGCTCAAATCACCCAAAAAGCCTACAAAAGGTAGCAAAGAATCTAGGAAATCTCTCAAACATTCTAGAGTGAAAAATATCCATCATAATTTTATTAATCCCATGAACCAGCCACTCCACATCCTCAAATCGTGTGCATATTCACTCAATCCAAACGTGGATATAAGGGTGTGTACCACTGTACCCTATACCAACACTTCTCCTAGCACATCCTCCAGCTAGCTGGCAAGTTCCCTCTACAGGCATAACCCACAACACCACATGCACCATGAATCCCAGGCCACCAGATTAAGAAGAAATGGATAAGGCCTTTGTTTTTCTCAGCACGGGTCTTCTCAGCCTATTTGCACATACAACACCAACTTGAATCATCTTACCTTTTCTACCTGAATTGTCACTATTCAAAAAGAACAAAAGAAACCTCAGAAGGCACTTTAACCTTCCACATTACTCTCCAACTATGCCAAGTTTCTTGATGGAGGAAAAAAAAAATGAAAACAGTAAATGAAAGGTGTTTGAGAAGATGAATATAGAATACAGTTGAAATCATGCATTCAAAGTTTCTTATTGTTTGTCATCTGTTTAAATTAGAACAATCAATTCATAGGGGCTTCAATTTGACCATCAACATCATCCAGCAAACTAGTAGGTTTTCACATTTCTATATTGATGTCACTGTCAGAAGGGTTACCTGTGAATATTTTGTCCAAAGTATATGAAAGCTTTCAAGTTCTATACAACTTCTGACGTGGGGACTGTAACTGGTGCTCTTGACATAACGTAGGTGAAGCTACATGATTTAAGCTGATGGAGGTAAAGGAAACTATAAGAGATAGCAAAATAGTGGAGCTTACTTGACTCTACAAATGCAAGTCCTTCCCCATTCCTTTTTCCTCAGGTGGTTGTAAAGCCTATGGTACATTATATTGTGCCATGTACAAAGATTAAAGTACTTCAGATTTTGCAACAACAGTAATATTTATGGTAATTTATAACCAGTGGCAGTCCATATCACAAGTTTGAAATTTAAAACCCTAGGCAACCACCATACTCTGGCTAATTTCATTATAAGTTCCACCCACCCCGTTACAGTGTTGGGATGGTTTTGGGGAGTGTTTCCTTCTCCCAGAGCAGGTTTAGAAAAGGCTTTCCATGTCAACATCCTTACCTACAATATGTCATAGCATGCCATAAAAAAAGTGGAGGATCCCCCTCTCCAAGTAATGATCACACATAATCCCACCTTTGGTTATTTTCTATAATTTTTTTGCTAGAAACTGGAGCACCAATTCATAAAATCAATGGGCAGTTCCCTCTTTTGTTTATATCAAAGATGCCAAACATTCGAGACCAAACCTCAAAACCCTTTTGACAAGGAACTCCAATAAATAAATAATAATAAAAAATAAAATAAAATAAAACACAGAGAAAGCAAGCTAGGAGAGGGTTAAAGATTTACAAACCTGCAAAATATTCAGAGCCTTTCTCATGTCACCATTACTAAGCCGTACGAGTGCTGCTAAGCCACTCTCTGGTACATCAAGCCTAGTTAAGCGAGATTATGTCAGAGGTCAAGCACAACACCATAGCGAAGTCAAAAAAGCCAAAATCTAATTGTAATAACTACAGCATGACATGTTGATAAGTTAGGCATCTATTTAGTCATGTCCACTTCAACCCTGTTCTCCTTTGTGGGAGGCAAGAAATACCACTCAAGCTAAAAATGGAGACTACTACATGCGTCTCTTTGAATTTTACAAGGTACCAAAGCATAAACCAAAAGGAAAATGACCATCCAAGTGACCTGCTTACTTCATGTTAATAAAGGTGAAATATTTCCCCTATATTTAAAATAAAAATAAAAAAACTAAATCCCCTTCAACGTGATTAAAGGTGAGTAAGTTGGAAAAGTAAGCCCTTAGCTTTGCAACTTTGTTGACAAGCTTTTAATTCTTTAAGAACTAAACAGATGGTGTAAATTATTTTAACAACCTTTTTGTGCATTCCAACAGTTAAAATGCAATATCAAGAGTGTTAGAATGCAAGTTAAAATCTTATGAGTAATGTCAAAAGTTAGGTTTGTAACCAGTCATCACTCCCAACACCCTCGAACCACTTCCAATATCCTTGAATAACAAGGATTAACTCAAGCTAATGACCCCTAAAGACTACTCTTGTTCTCCCCGTTTAAGCAGTTAATAAGTGAGTAGATATGGCTTTGCTTGACAGTCTAAACAGGGTGGCTAGATTTCATCTGAGATTGAATTCCTTTATCCCACCTAGATTATGCGAGGAAGAATGACACAGAAGAATCCCCATAAATTGTATGAACACCTCCATAAGAAATTTGTGCTGAATATTATTTAAAATGCGTCTGCAAAAATGTGCTATTAGGTACTAAATGTGATTTTAATCATTTGTTTTCGTTCAACAAGCTATAATAGGGATCATGTAACCTACTGGCCCGTTTAATTGCAATTAATCCTTAGTCCCATACGTTAAAACTGCCAAAAAAATTGTGCCGTGATTATGCTTCCCTTTTTAATTTTCTTTACGAATATAAAGTTATATTAAAGAGAAAAAAGGCGTTAATAAGTCAATTCGGTCAGCATTATAATGAACATGCATTTCTGTTTCTCTAAAAACTCAAGTTAATGAATATGAAGTTCACAGATTTGAGAAAACTGTTGCTATAAGCACATGAGGTTTATTTTGCTAAAAGAATGAATCAAATTAATTGATATCAAATCGTACTACTGGACGTTGTTAGGATATAGAACTTAGATTGGCAAATTTGTGATCAAAACTTGGAATCTGTATTTTTGTGTCTAGTTAAGTTAGTTATGGTACCTTGTCCAAGGCCATATCATAAATTCCACATTTGCAAGGATGAAAAGGTAACAATCACCAATTAGGGTTTTGCATATAGTAATTATGAGTACATGATTTGCATGATTAAATCTTCATAATCTTCTTTGATACGCATTAAAGGTATTTTTATTAACAAAATTGAAATCAAAATCCAAGACAATACAGGACAGTAGATGTCGATTGATCTATAAAAGATATCCATCTAGTTTTACTGATTTGGTGTCCCTCGATCAACACCTAGCTCGATTGATTGAGCAACTCGGTTATGAGTTTCTTTTTTATATTAAACTACTCAGAACCCTATTGTTTTCTGAATCTAACCTCTATACAAGGACAAGTATGGGTAAGAAAATTAAGAGAGACACAAGCACACAATATTAGAGCATTCAAACTCCCAATCCATGATATTATGTGCATCCTAGCAGTCTTTGTGAATACTACTATTTTGGTTTTTGAATGCATCATCATACATGTACAATGGTGTCTGGTGAGTGCCTTATTCAGTTATTAAGGCATCAGTTGACGTGCGTAGAGATTATCAACAACAAAGACTACACACACAATCAAGCGCTACTAGCAAGGAGATAGAAAACTGCAAGAGGAGCGGATTTGTTGGTGGTAGTGTTGGTGAAGAGGACAGGTTGTAATGTTGTATGATAATCACTAAAACAAGTGGTGGTCGTAATCGATGTATTGCCCATTCGTTGGTGGAGGTGATGTTAATGGTAGTGGTAATGGAATGGAGTATTTATGCGTCAAGAAGTGTTAAATTTTCATTTGACTAAACAAAACTTTGACTTTTTGCTTCAAGAAATACTTCCAAAATTAATAACCAAACATGACCTCTATGCTTTTAGTCAATGATGGTTTTCAAGTTCAAGAAAGGAATTTAAAGTGCTAACAGAACCTCAATAGAACTAAGAGCAAGACAATAAAGAAACTTGATGGACAAGAAATGATGATACTACATTGAGCATCCACGAAAAGGCGGAGATTAAAAAGAATATTCCCCGAGGACTCAGAAGTAGGAACATACTTTTTAAGAATGTGTGAGTCTGTGACAACCAATAACACAAATATTTCATCTTAAACGAAAAATTATATATAATGGCCATAAGACCCAGCAACAGTTTATGTCATAACATTGGAAAATTAAGATAGCTAAAATGAGAAGGTAGAGAAAAATGAACCACAAAATAGACCAATAAATAAGGAAATCTGTGAGCAGTAAGGATGTTGCTAATTTAAGACAAGTTGAGAGAAAGTTGGCCTTATAGATTTTCCAGGCTTTAAAAAAAATATATCTGACTAGCAATAAGCATAAACTGCAAAAAGCGAGCTTTATACTGATGAGAGGAAGAACAAATATATGTGAGCCAAAATGGTACAAATGAGATGATGCCTTTTAATTGAACACAGGGTATGACCCAAGAACATGACAGTAACACAGTTCTGTGGCAAGCCCTAGAGTGGTATAATCAAACTTTTTCATGTTGCAATTATGTGGATCATACATCATAGATCAACCTTGTCGTACATCATTACAATACTTAAACACAAGAAAATGGAGCATAATGTTATTTAGTTACTATCATAACAAATGTATCAATGCAAAAAAATCCAACCACGCTACCATCATAACAAACTTATGTATGAAAAAAGTATCCTGCCATATCCTAAATCCCCCAGGTGGCAAAGGAATGACTATTGTCCAGTGCTCTAAAAGAACATGATGTTGCTTAAGAATGTCAACATATAAAAGGAACTGTGGAAGAAAATTATTTGGCAATTACAAGACCTACTGATGATTCCAAAAGAAAACCGAAATTCTACGATGATGTTTAGAAATCCTGCTCCTACCAAAGATAATTATCTAGTGGATACTTCTAATTTTTGCAGTAAAAGTAATCAAAATAAATAAATAAATAAAACAAAATGGACAACTTAAAAATATGGAACTTACCCTTCAGCCTCAATAACAATCTTTATTCGCTCTCTGACATGAATATCTTCAAGAGGAGCAAATCGAAATCGAGTGCATCTGGACTGTAGTGCTGGAATAATCTTGTTGACGTGATTACAAATTAGAGAAAACCTAGTGTTTTTTGTGTATTTCTCAATCACTGCATCATAAAATATGAATGGTACAATATATGCATCAAGAAATAAAAGTACAATTTAATTAAGAAGTAAAAATCATATAGTTCATTACCTCGACGCAAGGCAAATTGTGCATCTTTCGTCATGGCATCCGCCTCATCCAATAGGACCAACTTCACACATGACTTTGCACTGCAATTAAAAAACTGTTTAGGTTAACTGATGCATTTAACGATGATCAAGGCAATGAAGTATGAGAGTAACAAACTCCTGTTGTCCACCAATATCATAAGGGAAGTCAAAATGGACTCTTTTAAATGTGTGAAGTACCCATCTTGGATACACAACCTAGGTATGAGCATCCAACATGTCTGGTTAGATATCTACATAGTATATTGTAGTATATTTTACAGTAACTTTCCCATAACACAAAATTCTCTTTTATATTCATTTTGTTATATTACTACTTCAAAAAAAAATGTCCATTTTGGACACTATGCTACCTAAAAAGCCATTTTACCATGACTGGGCGTCAGATTTGCCATATCTTGAAACCCAATGACACATGGAGACAGTTGGGTTATATATATATATTAACTGTCTCCATGTGTCCTTGGGTTTCAAGATATGGCAAATCTGACGCCCAGTCACATACCCACCCCCGTACACATCTGAGTTCATGTAACAGAGCTGTCAAGTGAATAGTTCAACACGTCAATCGTTACAAAACTAAGAGTTTGCTATTACAATTGGCAGTACAATATCAGAACTTAAGCACATAAAGCATAATAAAGAGATTGTGGAACAAAAACCACGTGAGCATTTCAAAGGACAATGCGTCATTTATGCCCAATGCAAGATATTTGAAGTCATAGCTTATACTGTTGTGGTATATGCATGAAAAACACCATGTTTTGCTTTGCTCATTTGTGGAACAATTATATAATTCACATCTAAATAAAAAAATATGCACACGCTGAGATAGAAGCCAGAAACATCTGAAAGTTTACAAGTGGCGCCATAGTTGTTAAAGGCTCAAGGCGCACAAAAGCGCAAATGCCTCCTGGAGCCTGAGGCGCAAGGCGCAAGGCGAGGCGCGCGCCCGACTGAAGCAAGGCGCACGTTGAAAAAAAAAAAAACAAAACCCACCCAATAAAGTATTAAAGATGCAATAGTATATATAAAGATGTAAAAGTCAACTAAATGAATTACTTAAGTTAAATATTCAACATAAAATGCCAAAACCAAGTAAAGTCCAATTCAAAGTGTCTACTTGCATTAATCTTATTGTGCCCAAAATCATAATGTTACTGCATTTTACTGTCATTATTACCAAGTAAAGTCCAATTATAAAGATGCCAAAACCAAGTAAAGTCCAATTATAATGTTACTGCATTTTGCTGTCATTATTACCAATTCAAAGTGTCTACTTGCATTAATCTTATTGTGCCCAAAATCATGCAGAAGGTTATGTATGATGGAGAAAGATCAAATTTTGTCTTCACCTTAAAGTCCAACATCTTTCTGATACCCACATGCACAAAATTGTATATACAAAACGCAAACAACGATCTTTTTATTGCCACGTAGTATGAAATAAAGAACAATAGTTATAGTACATAACAAACACAGATAACTGAAAAAAAAAAAAAAAAAAAAAAAAAAACACCGACCATCTTAAATAACAACTCCAACTCTACAAACAAACTAAACTCTTTCAAATAAAAAGAAGAGCTGTAGACAGTCCAGAGTCCAGACTCGAGAAAAAAAATAAAATAAAGATAAATAAAAAAATAAAAAGAAGAAAAATAAAATAAAAAATCTGCCAAGCTCGACTCGGCTGAGAGAGAGAAGAAAAGAAGAAGAAGAAAAGAAGAAATAAAATATCTGCAAAGTCGCAGAAGAAAAGAGAAGAAGCAAATCTGAGAAGAGGACGAGAGAAGAAGGAGAGAAGAAGAAGAGAGAGAAGGAGAAGTTAGAGAACTTACCGGCAGAGTCGCAGACGCAGATCCGACACAAATCCGGCAGATCTGACTTCCGAGACCGAGAGTCCAAGTCGTCGCTGCCTCTGTCGAGTCTGTCTTCTTTCCTTTGCTTTTTGTTCTCTTTTCTTTTTTTGTTTTTTATGTTGTAACAATGTAACTTGTAGGTTTTCTATTCAATTAACTAATAAAATAATATAATATAAATAATAATAATATAACAATACATAAAAAAAAATAAACAAACAGAACTAAACCAATAAAAAAAATTGCATTTTGCAAGCAAGCGCGCCTTTGGGACGCCTGTAGCCTGGCGCCTGTTTGGTAAAGGCGCACGCCTTCTTTACTCCCTGCGCCTTAAGTCACTAAAGGAGCTGAGATGGCGCCTAGAGGCGCCTTGCGCCTCAGGCGCGCGCCTTCGGCGCCTTTAACAACTATGAGTGGCACAGAAAGAAGACTTCCAAAGCCCAAGATTTTCATTTTTCCTTAGGATGTCCCCACTCCCTTCGGGAACAATACTATTCCCTTTTGCTAGTTGCATGAGTTACTAGCAAACCTGTTCAACGAGTGTTCCCATGTTGATAGCATTTTTGTCATTTAAATTCGGATTGTTCAGTATAGTTTAGTACTCAATTGGTTTTAAAGGGTTATTTAATTCTTATTCTGTTTCGAGGAATTGCCGAATCTGACTTAAAATTCAGAAAGTCTTCTTTGCTAGAAATTTCTAATTCTAAAAAGTTTATATTCTATTAGCCTTTATTATTTTCCAAGAGCTTTCATGTTGAGTTCCTAGTATTTCAATCAGGAGTTTTTTCTCAGGCTGGACTAGATTTATTTGCTATTTTTTAGAAATTTAAGTAGGAGTTGGTTATCATATTAGTTATCCTTGTTTTAGTGGGTTTTAATTGCCTAGAAAGATTGGAATCTATATGTAACTGTTATCACACCAAAGCGAGATCATTATTATTAATAGGGTAAAGTCTAGAAAACATCCTCCTAGTTTTGATTTTGTGCAGATTACACCCCTCTAGTTTATTTTGTGCATATAAATCCACACTAGATACTATAATGTTGCAACTAACCACCTCCGGCCAGATTTCCGGTAGAGAATGGGGTTCAAAAATATTAAAATCCAAAACTGCCCTTTCATACATATTCCGTAATTGCCCGTTACCATATTCACGGCCCTCACTTCTCTTCTTCCTCACCGTCACCACCCACACCATTCCACAGAGCTCTGTGTTGGGCTGGCAACCCCTCACTCTCTCTCCCCTCTCACCCCAACGAATCGCCCTGCTTGTGGGTTTGGTTTGCTTTGGTATGATATCTTTGAGTGGGAGATTTCAATCGTTGTCATGTTTGTTGTTGCAGAGAGAGCTTCAGAAGCAATCGCAATCGTGATCAAGATCGAATCGGTTTCATCATTGAATCATGTTCTTCACCGGACTTTGGTCGGTGGCCCTCACTTCTCTTCCTCACCGCCACCACCCACACCATTCCACAGAATTGTGTGTTGGGCTGGCAATCCCTCTATGTCTCCCTCTCACCCCAACGAATTGCTCTGCTTGTGGGTTTGGTTTGGTATGGTTTTGTTCGCCGGAAGTTGCAGAGGTGAAACTTCATTGCTATTTGTTGTTGGCTGAAAATTGCAGAGTTCAGTTCATCGGAGTTTGCTACGTCATCGCCGGAACTGAGGTTGTTGCGCTCTGCGTCCCACTGCCACCATGGAGGAGATCGATCGACAAGTTCATGGAGAGAGGATCGGTCGTACCGCATCCACAACCTCTCCCCTCAGGCCTTCTTCTTTGGCTTGGTCTCTGTTAAAGCGGTGGCCCTTGTTTTGTCCGTCGTTGATGAAGATGGCGCCGGAGAAGAGAACGGTCGATTTGAAACCGAAACAAATCGGTCTGCGAGAGGGGGTATTTTAGTATATTTGCAGTTCCGGTATCGGTAAATAACCAAAAGGGACTAATTCACAAATATTTTTTGATAGAGGGGTGGTTAACAAACATGAGGGGGTTATACGCACAATATACATACTACAGGGGGTTATTCGCACGCGACCCTTATTAATATGAAGAAAAGATTGATTTGTGTACTATACCTGTTGCAATCTCCCTCCTCTAATTACTCTTACTTTCTTTCTCATTGCTGTCTACAGAATCCAGCAAGCTAATTTCAATAATAACATGAAAAGGACAGTAAACCTTAATTATTCTAACCCAAATCCATAAAAGAACAACTATAAATCTCTTTAATTAGTACAATCTCGAATAACATAAGCAATTATAAGTATTAGCACTTCCGGTAAGAGATAGTAGACTGCATTCTGTTAAAATCCTAAGCTGTCATCCCGCATTAATTGATTATTGGCTTCTCAAGTATAACCTTTAGTAGGTCTAAAATAGGTTTTAGTAGTCAAAATTTCTAACTTACTAATTATGGAATTATAATCCTGTTATGTCAATAGGAGAACTTAGGGTAGCATCTTTCGCAGAACAAAACTTGAAGTCTGTACATTTGTTTCACTCTCTAGCTTAGTTTAGAGATTTTCAAAAGTTAATTACCTCCCAAGGATGAAGTTGAAATTCATGGTATTTTGGTAATCTTTGACTACAAGGGTAGAAAGGTAAATTGACACATTGATGCACTCAACAAATTAGGGTTCATGCATGCATATAAAGGGTTTCTATGCTTACACGATTTAAATTTGATTTGATTCCCTAGATTGCTTTAAACTTGCATGAAAATTGTTTCTGGAAACTTCTACATTGAAAATTTTCTAAATATAAAACCAGCAAAAGATTTCAATCCATCAAGGTATCGATTAAAGCCTTCTGGAGTAATGTCGAACCATCAATGTCTATTTCAATCTTATATCTTAGTTTTTTTTTTTTTTTGGTTTCATGTTGGCACTATGTGGATGATCTCATGTATCTTTCAGATAGCTTGAGATCATAGCTTTTTGGGTTTTGTGCAGTTGTATATGGGACGCGCTCCCCGTATGAGCACCTATCTATGAATATATTACTTATCAGGGAAAAAAAAAAAAAGAGAGAGAGAAAAAAGAAAAAAGCAGTTTCCAACTTGGTTTAAACCGTGCAAAAAACTAATTTCTCTAGTGCTGCCTATAAATACATAATACTAGGGCAGACTTGGATAGATATATATATCTCATAAATACATATATCATATTAAGAGCAGATTTTTGAGAGTTTTTGAGAGTGCATTCAGTTCTTCTTTTCCATTCATCATTTGCATTAATTAGTAAGTGTAGTTTATATGTGTTGACAACCTTCACTACGCCAAACGAGGGAGACTAGTTATAATAGAAGGTAAGAGAAGAGGGCGAACAAGATAACATGGGATGAGGTTATTAAAAAAGACTTTTAAAATTAAATATAGCAGGTGAAATGACATGTAGTAGAAAAGATTAGAGAGAAAGAATTCATGTTCAATTATGAAAAAAAAAAAAAAAAAATCATGTGGCCAACCCCATTTATATGGCATTAAGGCAAGGATGATGATGATAATGAACCTTCAATGCATACTACAAAGACAAATCAACACAACTGTTCAATCCACAATCAAATTGACATATAGATGACTAGTGGCTGACAGTGAATTGCTAGGGAAGCAGGTTCATTAGGAGCGGACATTGTCGATGAGCGAAAGAGTTGCATGAAGACTTTTCAGGGGAAAAGTTTCCACTCTTTTGTTTCAGGAGGTAACTAGATGATTCTTGGAGTAGAACTTGTTAACCTAGGTTGTACTCTGGATTTGGTTTTCCTGGATCAATTCCCATGATTTTTTCCTTTCTAGGGTTTTCCACGAAAAAATCTAATATTCATTGGTTATGCTTTTACTGCATCTTATTGTTGTGGATTGCTAAATTTTTTACAATCTGCTATATACTGAGGATTGAACTCTTAAAATAATTTTTGTTTGAATTCTAGTTATAACTGTAGTTAGTTCCACAAGACCTATTAACCCCCTTCTAAGTCTAGATCAGTGATCCTTGCACAACTCTCTATCAAACCCTCGGGTTCTGCTCCTACAAACTTTCAAGTCCTATTGAAAGCACAAGAAGCCCAGCAGCCTATAGTTTAAAATGCCTATGCACTCTTCAAATTTAATGTCGATTGTAAACTACCATCTACTCTAAGCTTTTAGAGAGGTTGTAACTGTAGCATTCAAATCCTTCAACACGCCCCCTCACGTGTGGCCTTCTTTTTGGTCCAACACGTGTTTCAATTTTAATTATTAGGGTGATGGTGAGGTGTAACTTCAGGATTTAAATCCTTCAACATGCCCCCTCACATGTGGTTTAATACAATGCAAAGTGAAGAACCTTACCAGGGCTTGACAGGCCGCGAATGCTCTTTTTTTTTTTTTTTGATAAGTACATGCCGCGAATCCTCTTGAAAGAGAGGGGTGCCTTCAGAAACGCGGACACAGGTGGTGCATGGTTGTCATTAGCTCGTGCTGTAAGGTGTTGGGTTAAGTTCCGCAACGAGCGCAACCCTCGTGGTTAGTTGCCATCGTTGAGATTCGAACCCTGGACAGACTACCGGTGATAAGCCGGAGGAAGGCAAGCACGACGTCAAATCATCATGCCCCTTATGCCCCGAGCAACACACGTGCTACAATGGCCGGGACAAAGGGTTGCGATCTTAAGCAGCTTTTATAGAGGGTATAACTTTAGTATTTAAATCATTCAACAGAGATTAGCTTTGAGATATTTTCATCAACTTTTGAAGCATTCTTAGGATAATGTAATGCAACCCTAACCCCAATAAGTAAAGGATTCTAAAAGTTATTCCTAGCATCTTCTTCTCATGTCCTTCTGTTTATATTTATTAACCTTTAAAACATACAACTCGACCTTGTTAACAATTATTCTACTCTTAAAACCTCTTTAACAAACCCAAAGCCCTTTCTCCTTTATGCTCCATTCAATACACAAGATGACAAAATTAATGAAAGAGAAGATAGGAGGGATGGAACAGGTATACATGGGAAAGGAATGAGATTTTTCCACATGAAATCTGATTAGGTAGAAAGGAATGGAAGGGGTACCGAGCGATTTGATTATTAAGTGAACTGCAAAATAAAATAAAATTTTGACAGGCAAGATTTTTCTCTTCCCGTTTCCGTCCACTTTGGGCAAAGGAAAAGCCTTTAAAGGAAGGAAAAATCCGGACTTCCATTTCCTTTCCATTCTCTCTTTCTCTACCACTACCAAACCCTCCCTCCTTCCTTTTTCCTCCCCTTTTGTTCCCTCCATTCTTTCCTCCAACAAGCACACTGTTAACAGTTGAGCATTCAAACTAACATCCAATAATAACACAAACCAGTCATTATTACCATCCAGAAGTATTGTTTACAAATCCATAACTTCAGTCTTTCCTTACCTAATTGAAACCCCAAACCTATAGCCTTGGTTAAACCCTTACAAGCCCTAAAGTCCCATCTTTCGCTAACCTTTACCAATGGACAATCTATTCATAATCAGCCATAAATATCATCTCAGGGCCATCTCACATATCACATTATGACCACAGAACTGAAGGCATCATTGTATTGAAGCAATACGTTGCAATGAATCATTCAATTATGAGAGGTTTGATTGATGTCAACAAATAATGGAAAGATGCATTATCCATGGGAGTGTATGTTGATAGGAGACTTATTTTCTTGTTCAGTTGCCCCTGGAAGTAGTCACCAATTGAGTGACCAAATGAATCCCTTGTGGTCAGTTTTCTCTATCGGAGATGTTTCCTATGTTTTGTTGCACAAGATCCCCGTTTCACAAATATTTCCGGAATTAAGAACTAGTTAGCTTGGTATTTGATTTCCGTCACACACAAAATTCATACTTGAACACATGCCTACATGCAGGACACACACACATACATATACACCACAAGACATGCAAATTAAGATCACTGGCCATGGAAAATTGATTTATAATGGTACATGTTACTTCTGGACAAGGTAATTCAGAGCTGAAAAATGACTATTTTAAAACCAAAAACTGTAGATCAATTTCTGAAGTATGTGGACTTCATTAACAAAGGCCAGAAGCTATAATTATGAAAAATAATGTTGTGGCCAAAGCAGTTGACTTAATGTGACATGAGAATACATATAAATCCATACACACTTTTTTTCATAAATAAAGATAAGCATTAAAAACAGTAGCTCTTAAGGGGGATGCATGCACATTGTATAGAAGAGCATGAAACTAAGTTATTTGTATAAACGGTACAATACAAGTCACCTATAAAATCAACAAAAGCGCACAGCAATCTTGAAAACATTTTGGACATCCAAAAATGAGGAAAATGCAACATCAGTCAATTAAGGACATCTATGCATCTTAAAAAGTACACTCATTCAAGTCTTTCCATATGCACCACCCCGAGGACATGGATGATTTGCCAATACCGTCAATACTTTGGCTAACATAACCCATAAATCCTCTACAGACCATGGCAAAACGAAAATGAACACAAAAAGATAAATGAAGTGGACCTCATATCCCTGAAAACCATGTAGTGGAGGAGGAGGCGGTAAGTTTTTTTCTCGGGTTAAATGGTTAATTAGGAGGTGGTAAGTTATCTTCCTCCTTTATGGATATGCTTGCCACTTGCGCCCCCTCCACCACCAACCCCACCCCAAAAAAAAAAAAAATTTCCACCATCAAGATCACATTCAAAGTAGTTTTTTCAAATAAAAAATACCTTGAAAACAATATAACTTTCCATATGCCTTCCAAAACAAACCTTAACCTCTCACCAACACATGGCAGTGGCACCCCATATATGATTTAATTGATACACGTTCAAAGGCTGTATATGATCCTAAACCCTTTGCTCAGAAATGAAATGTTGAACTTATGGTCAGGTGATTATGTTTAGGCCTTGGTCAAGGATGGCTGTGTAAGCATTGCTTGTCATTTGGCACCAGCACACTCCACTATCTGCCTCAGCAGTTATACGCTTAAGGATATGAGAGGGAAGTTTATCATTTCATAGTATGTATCGATATCCTTCAATTGCATGGGGCCAGTGGGGTAATCTGGCTAGATGTGGCAAAGGTTGCACAATACTTGGCCACAAGATTTGAAGGCCATTTGGTTTTCTGTATAATGCACATGTTACATATACGAGAACAAGAGCCTGAAGTTTGAGGGACATGGAAAGTTAAAGTGGCCTTACAACCACTGAAATCACCATTATTGGGCTAAATAGGTCATAGTTTTTGGAAAGAGAAAGAAAAAAAAAAAAAGCCAAAGGACACAAAAAAAATGGCTCTTTATTTAATAAATTATGTATATAACTGTTAGGATTTCACACACACAATTGGCAAAGCCACAAACCCAACAATAACAACTAAAAAAAAAAAAAATGTATATAAGAAAACATAAATATAATAAAATAAATTATGTATCTAACTGTTAGGATTTCACACACACAATTGGCAGAGCCACAAACCCAACAATAACAACTCAAAAAAAAAAATGTATATAAGAAAACATAAATATAATAAATTATCCTCTAATGCCCAGAACCATGAAGAGGAATGTGTCTCGATCCAATTGCATGCTCATTAAAACCCCAATTGCCCATAATTAAACAGCCATAAATGCAAACTATCACATCCAATTATCCAAACATCATGACTGATAATAACCAAAAACATGCATTTTGGGCAAATAACTAGCAAAGAATAAGAATTTACCCAAATGAGAAACTCTGAGTGCTAGCAAAATCCTGAATCTGTTGCCTCACAACATCAATTCCTCGATCATCCGATGCATTCAATTCCAAAACCATGTTGTGCATCTGCGATCCATATAACTTGCGCGCAAGGGCGAGAATGGTCGAAGTCTTGCCGGTACCAGGCGGCCCATACAGTAGCAAATGTGGCAACTTGTTCTCGCTTGTAAGCCTATCAACTGTTCGAAGAAAGTACTAAGTAAATATCTAAACATATATATGTATACTTTGTGTATGGAGTGAAACCCTAGAAAATTAGGGGGGAATAGTATGTTTACTGGTGTCAACGATGTCGCGGTGAGCGGCTACGTCGGCGAGGGACTGAGGGCGGTACTTTTCGACCCAAGGAGTGGCTTTGGGGTGAGGTGTGTCGCCGGCGGCGATGACATTTTTGCCCTTGTTGACTGACTTCTTGAGAGAGTGGTTCTCTTCCTTGTCGTCGATGTCCATGAGAGAGATTACCTCTGCCATGGTTTTGAAGCTCTCTCTCTCTACTCTTTCTCTCTCTGTCTCTCAGAGTATCTCTCACTGGGTGCGCGCGCGGACAGTGGTCAAATACCTCCATTACAAGACGGAGTTATGGCGCCAATCTAAAGGGCAAGAGAAATTATCGCACGTGACAGTGCGTATCACGCTTAATGTGGTTTTCTTTTTCTTTTCATTATTTTTTTTCATTGCCACACACACTTTTTTTTATTTTCGCCCACAACTGCCTCACTCCTCTTCGAGGACCGAGAAATATGTTACAAGGTGAAACTTATCTCACGTTGAATCCCAATAAGAAATTAATTGAGTAATAACTTAGATTTTTGGGTAGGATCGTGAAGTACCCACCCGTAACAGTTGATATCAGAATCAAACCTAATTCTTGATCCAGTGTCACGCCAAGCGTTCCACACAGATGTGTTCAGGTAGCCAATCCATAGGCAGGGTGGCCCGACTGATTGCAACAAGGGCATTCTGAGTTCAGGTGGGGGAGAATTAGGGATGGCAATGAGGCGGAGATTTCATTCCCCATCGCCGTTTAATTTTTCCACCCCTATAACCGGCCAAAACCCATTGGATTTTTCAAAGCAGCCTCCATCCCCATCCCCATTTGCATAATGGGTTCCCCAAAACTGCCCCAAACGGGGCGGGGCCTCGCTGGAGTGAGAATTTTTGCCATCCTTAATATATATACTTAACTTATTTTATTAATATATCATAATATGCAAGGTAAATTTAATAAAATTATAGTATATTCGGGGTGGGATAGGGTGAGGCAACCATCCCCCGAAACCGCCCCAAACACTCGTTGGGTTTTCAAATCAAACTCCATCCCCGTCCCCATTTACATAATCAGTTCTCCAAAATCGGCCCCAAATGGAATGGGGCCCGGGGTGGGAATTTTTGCCATTCCTTTCCATAGATATCATAAACAGGAATACAATGGTTGTTAGATCAAAATAGATGGTTAGGATTTAATTTTAATATTTTAATAATAATAATAAAATAACAATTCATTAATGATATTATTTGGGCCCGGATTAGATCGGGTTGTAAATACCCGGCCCGATGATAATTTATGTTGTGTTTTTTCATTTTTCTCTTGTAATAGAACATCATACTTGGACAATGCATAGACCAATATTTTGGGTTCTTCTTAAAATAGGAGCGCTTATTCGGGCTTTTCTGATTCTCTCATCTGGAAAGAATTTTTTCTGCATAGAAACCCATTGATTAGACCACCCATTAATTTGAAAGTCTTGCTCCAACATTGGAGCTTCTACGATGGTCTATCACCAACTGTAACCGAGAGAGTTGTTGTTGATTCTTGATTGCTCCACAACATTAATATTGGAGCTTCTCTCCTGGACATCGATAGGAGCGTGAATATTCCTAGCTGATGGGGGAGCTCTCATCGATCCTGACCTTGAAAATGTCTCTCTATCCCCATAAAAGAGAGACATTGTGTTTCCTCATTTTTCGTTCCGTTGTATCAGTGCTCATGAACATATCAACATTTTTATCTCTTATATTCTTTTTCTTCCTTAATTTCAATTTTCTAAGCACTTTATATAAACCTGCTTTGAACGAAGAAGCCATTTTGTTGCAAGAATGAACAAGAAGAAGGAAGGGAGAAGTGGTACTGTATAAACTGAATTCACGATTCTGTTTTCGGAAAGATACTGGAATTGAAAAACTTACTCAAAGAGAAACTGTAGATTTCCGGAAGAATCAACCCTCTTCTCAGAAACAAGATTGATACATTCTATTGATATGAGATGACCCAAGAAGTAAAAACAAAATAGAAGTAAATAATAGTGGATGAGTGAACCAAACCCGACTCCAATGAGTCAATGCAAGCTAACCCTAAATTTTTGCGAGTTTGCCATAACAGCAGCAAGGGTTAGGGATGAAAATGGGGCAGGGATTTCATTCCCCATTCCCGTTTAATTTTTCCACCCCCATAACCGCCCCAAAACCCATCGGATATTTCAAAGCAGCCGCCATCCCTGTCCCTATTTACATAATCGGTTTCCCAAAACTGCCCCAAATGGGGCGGGGCCTCGCGAGAATTTTTGTTATCCTTAATATATATTTAACTTATTTTATTAATATATCATAATATGTAAAGGCAATTTAATAAATTTATATTATATTAGGGGTGGGTAGGGCGAGCCAACCATCCCTCGAAACCACCCCAAAAACACACTGGGTTTTTCAAATCAGACTACATCCCCATCCCTATTTACATAATCGATTATCCAAAATCGTCCCCAAATGGGATGGGGCCCGGGGTGGGAATTTTGCCATTTCTTTCTCTAGATATCGTATACAAGGTAGTAAACTGGTCGTACAATGGTTGTTGGATCAAAATAGATGGTTATGATTTAATTTTAATATTTTAATAATAATAATAATAATAATAATAACAACAACAACAATTCATTAATGATATTATTTGAGCCTGGATTCGATCGGGTTGTAAACACCTGGGCCCATGATGATTTTTGTTGTGCTTTTTCATTGTTTTCTTGTAACAAAAAATCATACTTAGACATTGCATAGACTAATATTTTGGGTTTTTCTTAAAATAGGGGCACTTATCCAAGCTTTTCTGATTCTCTCATCTGGAAGAATTTTTCCTACATGGAAACCCATTGATTGGACCACCTATTAATTGGAGCTTCTACGGTGGTCTATCACCGATTGTGACCGAGAGAGTTGTTGTTGATTTATAATTGCTCCAACAACATTAACATTGGAGCTTTTCTCTTGGCCGCCGCCGGGAGCATGAATATTCTTGACTGTGGGGGAGCTCTCATCGATCTTGACCTTGAAATGTCTTTCTATCCCCAGAAAGAAAGACATTATGATTCCTCATTTCTGATTCCGTCGTAGCAGTGCTTGTGATACCTCCGGATTTCCGGATGCGGGTTGGCCAGGCCCACGCCCGATTACCCAAGAATATCAAAACAATTAGGCAATAAATGAACACAGAATACAATTCAGATAAATAGAAATAAATAAAACTACTGAAAAGAAACTAGAATGATAAACCAAAACTGAAAGTTCAAAATAAATTTTATAATTAAAGAATTATTCTGATACATCTAACTTCTCCATTTTTAATACAACTCGGGAATCCATCTGATGGACCCCTAATAAACTCCAACACTAGAAAAATAACAACTGAAGAACTCCAACGCTAAACCATGAAGAAAACTCCTACATCGTCAGAAGAATGAGTAACCGTCTCTGCTCAACACGAACAAGATCTATAACCTGGAACCGTCCGTTACCTGAAAAATAATAGTGGGTCAGGCCCACAAATAAGTTCTAATCTAACTGTAATCCATACAGAAACCCGATACGCAGATATACCCTAGATACCTCACAATATCTATTTAGTCCATAAGTATATATATATCCACACTAAGGACATTCACTGGACTATAATAGGGGTCTCAACCTGAATAGAAGGCATCATGCAAAAATGCACCCAAAGGTGGGCACGAGTACCTAGACCTAACAGGGTACACCTACCTACTATATCCAGCTACGCATCCACTGCATATGCGCACCCTAACCAACGAGTCTGAGACTCAAGCTGATCTCATGATACCATAATCATATATCTAAAGTCCGTCAAAAAACCAGAGTATGTCATTCAATTATTCATTGAAGTGATATACAAAACACAGTCCAGGTAGTCACTCAACTTTTCAGCGGATATGACTTAACTACAACCAACTAATCCGGGAAGTCACTCAACATAGTCCGTTGATCTGACTTAACCACAATTTAGGATTCAATATTTTACAATCCTTTCCTTTAATCCGATAGGTTAGGTCTTAGCGTTTTGAAGCCAAGCCGTCCCTAGTATGCCATCGTCCCATATCGGTGCATACAATCCTCCATATCCATGTAAATTACAATATATAAATCATAATTTAGTAATTTACAGTCCAAACCATTATCCAAATAATTGCAGAAAATATTTCATTATTCTAGCAATTGTAATCCAACAGTAATACAAATAATTGCAGAAAAAGTTTAATATTTCGACAATTTGTATCCCAAAGCATGTATAGATCAAAACAAATACATAGATGACCCTATCATGCATTTAAAAATAAGTTTTATAAACATCCTAAATCCCAGTAAATTGCTACAATTTAGTTAAGCAATTCATCCCCCTTAATCCCCCTTTTATCTGTTAATAGTATAGAAAATTTATATTTTAATACTGTCTGTCCCACTGACTCAGAGGCCAACTTTGATCAATCTAAGGTTTTAATAACACCCAAAATAAACCATTAAATCCCTCAGTGAAGTCCCAAAATTTCAGAACAGTTCAATTCCTTCCACCCGTTACCAGTATGTTAAATTACATAGTTTTATATTGTCCATCCTTTAGTGTAGAGACATAAACTATGCAACAAGAGGCTTTAACCACACTTGAAATTAGTATTAAGAACCCCAGTATGCTCGCCACACAGTCCAGACCAAATTAAAAACATCCAAACATCACCTAAAACTTCAGAAAATCAATCCTTGTGAGAGACTGCTCTAAAACCAAAAGGAGAAGGCTCCAAAAACAGCAGGAGAAGGCTCCAAAAAAAAGAGAGCAGGCTCTAAAATAGAAGGAGAAGGCTCTAAAAAAAGGGAGAAGGCTCTAAAATAGAAGAGAAGGCTCTAAACGAAGGAGAAGGCTCCAAAAAAACAAAAGAGAAGGCTCCAAGAATTCCTGGAGCCGTCTCCAAGAGGGTAGAGCCGGCTCAACAATTGGGGGGAGCCGGCTCTCTCCCTTTCTGAGAGCCGTCCGCAATTCTGTGAATTCTATGACCTTCGTCCTCGACTCCGGCTGCTTCCAACCCTCTCTGTTTATTTTAAACCTGAACCTAGATGTCCCAAGTATGTCCAGTATCATCCAGATTCATTATTCATACCAAATAGCATTACTAAAATCCTTTAACACCTACCGATTATAGTATGCTTATAAAAACAAGTACTGTAACCAAACTTTCAAAATTCATCACATAACTAATTCAAGGCAAAAATATGATTAATTTAACATATAAAAATGCACGATTCAGTTATTAATCCATTAAAACCCTAGAGCATACCTAGGTGCACATAACACAAGCCAAAAGGAAGGAGGAAGAAAAGAACTTGCCTATGATTTCAGTTGAAATCCCGGCGTCGTGTCCACTGTTCCAGCAACACCGAG